GTTTGTAGCATACTGCCATTTTGTCAGTAACTCTAAGCCACTGAGGGAAGGCACCGTTGAAAGCACAGTTTCTCAATCAGTAAACATAACACTGACATTACACAGGAATGTGTATTAAAAAAAAGGCATTTAAGCAAGGCATTCGAGCCTCTTTGTACCTGACTTTGCAGCAGTGCAGGATGCTGTATATTGATCATAACGTGAGTTGCAGACAATAAAATGGTAGACTACGATGTGCTTGATTGGAGAAAACAGAAAGAAAGAAGCTAACCATGATAAAGGACAGTTCCGGAAGATACAAGCTGCAGACTTCACACAACAACTATGATGACAGATGATAATGGCTGTCACAGCTTCCCAAACAGCAGCACTGGATCAGTTCACGTTAAGTATTTGTAAAATTATTTACTTCAACACTGAAAAGAGGTATTTCTCATCTGCATAATCTATCTTTAAAAGTTCTATCACTCTTATATGTTGGTGTGATGTTCCTCATGGGTGTACTTTCCGGAAAAGCAAACTAAAGACAGGTTGCTTTGTTACATTTTTTGTACTCTGGCCAGAAATCATTGTGTACAGCAATCTACTGTAACCTAGTGATGTAAAAGATCAAGTCACTGCAACTGAGGTGATATCTCAGGCATCTCTAGCTGGATTTTCTCTCTGGGGAAAGAAAAAAGTTAACAAGAGCTTGACACTAAGTTAGTTTTCTGATTAAATCTTGATGTAGCCATTTGCTTTTAAGATACCAGTTGTTGCCCAAAGAAGCAGAAAGCAGTCAGGATAATCAGTGACAAATGCGCACACTAATTCAACTCCTGGAGACATTGCATTCTGAGGCTGAGTTGCTAGTGTGATGTGGGAAACACTGCCTTTTAAGGTACCCTCACAATGTGTTTGTTTAGAGGAATTTTCCGTGACAGTTCACCTGTCTCTGATGTAGGATGGTAAGAGAGAATTTTTCTTGAGATAATCAGAAAGTCTTTACAAAAGATGTCATTGACTTCACTATAGTTTCGAAGGCTAAGCCTCTAGAGTTTCGAAAACGGTATGAAAAATGCTTTCCTGGGTTTTGTTCTCTTTCTGATTTTATTAAACCAGCCTGCTGTGCTGTAGACCGGTAGCATTTGTGACTTATTGCATGAGTTTTGTACTCCTTCATCCATGTTTTGAAATTGCAAAAGTATGGGGCCATGTTTAACTGTAGTCTAAGAGTCCATATATATAATTGAAGATGTTCAAAAGTTCTTTCTCAGACTTTATGTAGATGGGTGACAACTGTGACCATGACTTCAACAAAAGGAGTTCTAATTTAACTCTTGTCTGGAAGCACGCAAATTTTGGCAGATGTCACTGAATCACACAGAATCACAGAATGGTAGGGGTTGGAAGGGACCTCTGTGGGTCATCTAGTCCAACCCCCCTGCCGAAGCAGGGTCGCCTACAGCAAGCTGCATAGTACCACATCCAGGCGGGTCTTGAATATCTCCAGAGAAGGAGACTCCACAACCTCCCTGGGCAGCCTGTTCCAGTGCTCCGTCACCCTCAGAGGGAAGAAGTTCTTCCTCGTGTTCAGACGGAACTTCCTATGCTTCAGTTTGTGCCTGTTGCCCCTTGTCCTGTCACTGGGCACCACTGGAAAGAGTCTGGCCCCATCCTCCTGACACCCACCCTTGAGATATTTATAAACATTTATTAGGTCCCCTCGCAGCCTTCTCTTCTTCAGGCTGAACAAGCCCAGCTCCCTCAGCCTCTCCTTGTATGAGAGATGCTCCAGTCCCCTCCTCATCCTCGTAGCCCTCCGCTGGACTCTCTCCAGTAGCTCCTCATCTTTCTTGAACTGGGGAGCCCAGAAGTCATATAGTCCTTGCATCTCACTCAATGCAGAAACATTTCTAGCAGATATTTGTCTCATCTGTTTGCTGGCATGTCCAGAGATAACAATTCCGTATACGTCCAGGCAATCAGTCCCATACTTCGTTTCTGCATGTTCAGGGTATCCTTGTCGTATGATACTAACCACTTTAGAGTACATGAAACTCTGTGCTTGGGCTTTATCAAGAATATTTCTCTTTTGCTGGAGGTAACAGGGAACTGTGATGCCAGTTACTGCAAGAACAGCTAGGACTACTGTTGTTTTAAATCCTAGTCTTTCAACGTGTCGCAAACATCTGTAAGTAGAATGAAGATTGAGTGCTGCAGGGGGAATCTCACAGGTTGGATTTGTGTAGCTGTGGTCAGAAATGGAGCCTCGTCTTGCCATCTAAGCGCACAGTTGATACAAAAATTTAAATATGGCAATAAATCTCTAAGAATGCACTTTTCCAGATTCTTCTTATTTTGTAATCATAAAACCCCAAGTTCTCATTTAATTAATGTCTTGAAATACTTAACCACTTCTCAGAAGATCATTGGTCACATCAACTTGTCTCACAGGTGTAAAAAAACATGTAAGCAGGGAGAGAAATTAAGTACACCCTTAAAATTTAAGTTACAGGCTTGGGTTTGTAGCTCTAAGTCTGGAGTTCCCTATTCTGCAATTAACAGTGGGATCAGATCAAGTGTGAATGTGTCAAACTGTCCTTTTCCTTCTTCCAGCCTCCCTGTTTAGACCTTTTTTATGAACAGGCAAGAAATATTAGTAATAAAATAGTTCACTGTTGTGAAGGATGAACCACTAGTCTAGTTTCAGTCTTGGGAGCACAGAATAAAAATCAGCTGAAGGGATAAATGTGGAATAGATTGCATCGATATCTACAAGAGTAAATAAACCCTCCTCCCCTAAACTAACAGCTGTGTGTTTATTCATAGAAATTTTAATCCAGGTCCAGATTTGTAACAGTTGTTTGTAGAGCTTTCAATGACAGCTCTTTGTCCCTCAGGATATTATAGGTAGTAGTAGTACCTTGTTCTTGGCAAGAATGTGCTTTAAGGTGTAATCAGAGGAACTCTTAAGTGGGATGGATGTGGAAGGAATGTTGGCTCCCAAGTTTGCTTTAAGAACAAAATCATCACTTTCAGGGCTTCCTGAAGAAATGCCAAGTCTTACACATGTTTGGAATTACCAAATGCATTCATGAGATGCTTACAACTGCAGTTTTGTTATGTCAATGGTAAAACAATAGCAGTCTCCGTAAACCTGGAAGTCCTGGATGCGTAGCAGCTTCATTTTTCGCTAGTTGCATTGTGTCATGTGTGGTAAAGAGCACTTCTAAAGCAGATATGTGACTTTGGTCTTGTTGCTTTAAGGCTGCCAAAGAGCACAGGCGGCACTCTGCTCCAATTCCACATTTTTCTTTGCTTCAGAATACTGTGTTTCACTGATCTCCCTCCATCTCTCCTGTGATGACTGGCAGGTGACTGCTGCTGCAGTTGTGTTCTGCTACTGTGTCAGAGCATCTGATGCCTACATGATTGCACTATAAGCATTCCTTAGTCTTCGTTGTCTCCCCATGCTCCAGAACAAGTCGTCATTATTTGGAGGACACGGGACAGTCAGGAGCCTGCCCTCTCCTTGACCTTTCACATAACTGACTATTCATACAAATATTGCAAATATGTTGCTCTGGAGAGAGCAAAACATTCTCACTGAAATATTGCTGTCCCACACCATAACCACATACTAGAGGGGGCTGAAAAGTGGCATAGCAGTGATTATGAGGAATAGTCTCTGTCTCAGTGCCTTCTACTTGACACAGACTGGCACTATCATACCAGAAAGCCTTGCCTAGGTTTGGTTATTTCCACTGGCGCTATTTTACCACAACACATTTTCTCTAGAGAACTGCTGCCCTTTGTTATTTACATGGAGAACGCAAATGTCAGGTCTGCTTTTTTCATTAAAGAAATAACTGTGCATGAGGGGAGGCAAGGGTGAACGTATACCCTCTAGGATTTGGAAGAAACCAAGCTGAAAACCCTAGTAGTTCTTGTTTTGAAAGAGTTTCTGCAACGGATCACAGCTGCTCTTCCAAAGGAAACAATGAGAGAAACTGCTGCTTTATTCAGTGTGCAGTGACTGAAACACTCATCACAGGCCTCAGACTCCACTGTGGACTTCCAGAAACCAATGTTCCCCAAAGCACAGAAATTATGAGCATAGGGTGATTTTAGGGCTTCTTGCTAAAACACAGCCTAAGTGTTTTTTTTTTTTAAGTTTTCTTTTATCATGCATGAAAAGACTTGGTCCTATGTCGTCCCCATTGCCAAAATACTAGCTTGAGAGAATTTTCAAATTTTATTTATGTGACATGAACTGTTTTTTGTTTATATATGTATATCGACATTTGCAACCCCATCACTAATATAGCTTGTGAGTAATGAGATGTAAAATACTATTTTAATGCAAAAATACATAAATTTAGATTCTACTTTTGTGCAGACAAATGTTCCAAAGTAATTCAGAACCAGTTCTTATTGCAGTGAAAATAATTTGCCAATTTTTAATAATGCGCTAGAAGTCTTACTTAGAAATTTAGCTAGCAACATGAAGAACTAGTATTTCTACACAGAGGTCACTGAGATGATGAATTATGTGAGATAAATAGCTTTATGGGTAATTAGTAAAACTGGAAGTGACTTTTGAAGGGTCTTTTTCAGTTTCTTGGTAGTTGGACAAAACATTTCAATTTAAAATAAACCTACAAGATTTTCACAGTAAACTGACACATTTTGTGAAGAAAATTGGTTTGTTGTGGAAGAGAGACATATGTGTGAAAACTGTTTTATTTTTGTAGAATGGCGAGCAGTGATTGTTCAGTGGCTCTGTGAACGTTTCAGAGTTGTAAGGCCGAATGACACTAAGGTGAATATCTTTTGAAGAGTTCCGCCAATAAACAAAATGCAAAACACAAAAGGTTTCCAAAAGAGTTTAATAAATAATGAGGTTCTTTCTGTACTGTATAAACTATAAATATACCATGCAGTCCTTTATAACTTAAAATAATTTACAGGCTGAGGTAGGGGGGTAGGAGGTTGTTGTCATGGGGTTTAGATCCGTCTTAGGGCCTCCCTGGCCAGGCTGCTTGCTTGCCCTCCATTGTCAGCGCTTTGACAAAGGTGTGTGTTGTGGTGCAGTAAGAGTTCCAGTGTTTTGCATCGATCCCTCGGCACCCACTGGAGACTGGCTTAGGGTCTCTGCACTTGGTCTCAAAAAAGTACTGCTTAAATATGTTGTTGTTAATGTTGACCTCTCCCAACACTGTCACCTCTTTGCCTTTAATGTCAGTGGCTGTGGTTTTGTCCCCAACCCACATGCTGACGCTGTCACACACTGAGAACTCTCCCCTGTGTAATACAGGATGCGTGGTCCTCTTGGTCCTGGCAGTCCTGTTGAACGAACCTGTACTGCTGAGAAATCCCATATTCTGTCCTTGCCCTGACACTGGGGGGGGCTGTGTGCTGAACAGCACCCAAGGAGACCGGAAACGCCTTTTCTTAAAAAATTTTGGGTCCACGGTGATATTCATAACTTCTCTTCTACCTGTTGTCCAAGTAGAGTGGCCATGGGATGTCTGTGGAGCTCCTTGGGGAATGTGGTGTCTGTTACTCCGGTGGGTATTGAGCAAGGAGTGTTCTGCAGGATACTCCAGTGGAGCATTGTCCTCTGACTTTGGAGCTGCCTGTGTGCCGATCAAAAAAGCTATAATCAGAGTGTAGTACAGCATGGACATTACGCTATGCACCTAGAACAAAAGAAAAACATAATGTTACTGTAAGCCATGCTGGCACAAATAGATGCCGTTGCTGACAAATTTTTAAGATACCCAGGATCATACAGATTTCGTCAGGTATTCGTGTGAGTGCCAGATGTTGCTCTTCCGGAAGAGCTCATTCAGACAGCATAAATGGTCTTAATAAAGTGAGAACATTAGAAAGTAATAGCTAGGTTATTATTAATTCCTCTGGTATTTGTTATTAGAACACTGTTTATGAAGCACTTGTTTGGTGTTATTAATGTGGAGACCATGTGGCGACAGCATGTTCCCAGGAGTAAAATCTCTAGTGATTTTGGCCAGGGCTGGTCTCTTGGCTGCAAATACCCTGCAGAGTAGCGAGAGTAGAAGCAGTGCCTTGGCTAAAATAGCTGCCCGTTCAGTTAATTTGCCTGCAGAGGTGTCCTTGGGGCTAGGGTGGGGACCACCAAGCTGGTACTTGTAGAGGAGGGAAGAGCCCCAGTGAATTGTCCTATTATCATACACTCAACAGCCACGCTTACCTGCCATGTGGACAGGCCCCACCACTCCGCCTGGCTCAGCAGCCTCCAGCTGCCTCCATCTATCCCATCTGCCCTCTCAGGACACACCACATTGCTGATTTTGGGCAGATAAAGCCAATGCTCTTGCCTAGAAGAGCTCAAGTATCACCTGTCACAAGGGCAGATGGGATTTTTCCATGTTCAAGCTGCCTGTTAGGACAAATATGGGTATTGCGTAGGAGCACTGTGGATGACAGGCTAGTTCTGGGTTGGCATCTTAGGTATAGCATAGCTAAAACCATTGTGGCCATAGTAGTGGGAATTATGTACAGGGAAACGCCTTCCTTTTTTTCCGACTGCCATGAGCAAGAAGCTCCACAAATATCACTGCATAGCAGATCCAGTGCCAGTGCTAGTCTTCCTTCCCTGAGAATATGCACATCTTTTGGGTGTGGAGAAGTGTAAGACAACTGTCTAAAACTTTGCTAAGAACAATTTTATACCAGAAGACCAGCAGTGATACCTTGTTAGGTAACTACCGTGTGTTGACTTAATTCAGCCATCTGTTGGGTTAACAAATCGGCAGCAGGCATCATGGGAATAAGAGACATTCAAAAATTATCTGAAATTGCAGTTAAGGGCAGACATTGTATTTCCGCTGTGAAGACTTAGTAAGCAGAGACAGGGTATAAACAGACAAAAACTACCAAGCAAGGCTCCTTCTGTCTCTTTGCCTTGTTTTGCCTGACGTGCCTCAGCTGGCCTTGAATTACACTGTGTCCAGCCAGCAGGCAGGCAGCCGCACATAGACTGGACAAACAGGGTTTTGTAAAAGAGGAATCAGGTTCTGCAGTTCCACTGTGATTTCCCAGCACGTCTTAATGTTTTTTCTGGGTGTGGATCAGTTACTGTTGAAGTTCCCGCTCTGTGTTCAGCTCTTTCAGACTAGAATCCCAAGCAGCACTAAAGCAATCAACCAGGGCTTTAGCTTTGCTAGAGCACAATCTTGTAGAAAATGCAGAACGCTGAGATGTCCCATAGGATCTTGTGTGGATAGTCTTACCTCAGACAAGAGCTGCAATGAAATAAACAGCTGTGTTTGAGCAGGGCTGGGCAAGCATTTAAAAAATCATCAGGAGATGCCAAGTGAAGGTAGTGACTGAAGAGGGTGAAGATGCTACAGTCCCTGCGTCAATGGGAGAAAAGAAGAGAAAGCCCAAAAGCCACATTAGCAGTTGTCTGTGCAACAGCTGGGCTGGAAGAATTGGGGACAAAATGGTGATGAGGAGACTCAAATCTCTGTCACAGAGAAAACCTTCCTGTTCCAAAGCTACTTTAACTTGCTTAAAACAAGGCTGAGAGTTGCTGCTTTCCCACGTGCTGCTCGTGCTTGAGCAGTCGTCATCATCTGTATAAGAAAATAGAGCTGGGTGTAGCTCAATAGCTTGGCTGTGCACGATTCGGAGAGTAACCCCTTGTTCTACGAGCAAATTAAAATCAGATGGTTCATTACATCTCTAAAGAGTTAGCTTTCCTGACAGAAATGTTAATAGAAAAGGTTTGCAGAACAAAATCCAGGCACAATTTACACATTCCAATAGCAGCCTCAACCTATTGTGTTTATATATAACCCCTTTTTTTTATTATTTCCTTCTATAGGAAAGAGACATTGCAATGTCAGCAAAGAGCTGTTTCTAGTTTTGTGCTACACAAGATTCACTGCTCTAAAATACAGCTACATTTATGTCCCTTCTCTGAGTTTCTTCTGTTGCATATGCTAAGGTTATTGCTTTAAGGCCATTAACACAAAATCAGAAAGATCTCACCTGCTTGTCGTCTTTTTCTTTTTTGTTTTTTAAATGTGGCTTGTATTTCCTCTGCTCGTGGTAAAATATTCTGTGGGGAATGTGGCCTTGACACAGACATAATGTATATGGGATACCTGGTAGTTTTCCTGAAGATTCAGAATTGAATCTTTTCATCAATTATTAAATTAGCGGAGAATAGAAACTGACAGATTTAAGAAGTGGATTAGACTTGATGACAACAAGCAAAAAAAGTTAACATTTAAAGAATGGGTATGCCTTAGACTGTGAGGATTGCAGACTTTTTTGCTGACATGTACAGATATTTTACACGCCCTTTAGTGGGGTTGTTTCTAAGCTTTGTCACATACTTAGTTACTAGACCCTTTCATGGTGCTTTCTGGAAGTGTTCACAGTGCATGCCAAGTGCAGCCACCTGAACTTCCAGGGAGATGCACAGCTGCCATTTCTAGTGCAGGTAGTACGTGGGTATCTGTTTGTAACATTGGCCACAAACGTTATCACAGGCATTTCAATGCCAAAAATACAAAAACTGTACTAAACCAGAGGATGTTTACTGAGAACTGTGACTTCTAAGTGTACCATCTCTCATTATAAGTAAACATTCCCCACAAAAGACACGATGTCTGGAGAAAGAATAAAGAAGACACCGTAAGTGGAAACTCCCATTTTAGCCACACAACAGCTAGCTAGCAGGTATCAGTGAAGCAACTTGTTTAATAAATGAAAGAACTAAGCTTTTCCAAAAATAAGAGTATTAAATGCAAATTGCCCTTGTCTTCATTCTTTAGAAAACAGACCAATGATTTGTTTAAGTTCAAGATGACAATGCTTCCCTGCTGGTATGTTGGTCAAGTGTAGTTTAAACACTTGTTCTGGTATAGCTGTTCAGACTACTGTGTGATGCTGACAATAGGCGATTTCAGTCTGCTTTGAGACGAGTGCGTGTATTGTGCTTACCTCTGAGTATGCTGCACAAAAACCTGCTCCCCCAGCAATGTCTTTATTTCATCCGGACGCTGAGCTGGGGTTCGCTGCAGCATGCCATCGGGCCAGTTTGACTGCGTAGCTGAGTCTGGGAGTTGCTTATTCTGCGTTCCACTAGAAGTAGAAGTATTTGTTTGAATAATTAGCCAGCAAATAAGTGTTTTCAGTACCATTTTCCACTTGATAGCAGGAGTACAGGGACAAATCCATTTGCTTGGCTCTCTGAGCTGTTTCTTTTTCACTGGTAAACCGTAGACGGTATGTAAAGTGCAGTTCTTGACTTTCCAGAGCAACACATTGTAAGACAGAGCTACCTTTATTCAGCACCTTTACCAGACTGTGGTTAACAATCCACTACTCCCAGTCCCTTTCGGACGTCTTCCAGGCTCACCAAAACTAGGAGTGATGCAGCATAGTGAAGTAGTAGCTGCTGATGTCACTATCTGAGCTCAGTTTGCACAGTAGCGGTAGACAAATAAGGGCTCAGACCCCCCTCATCTTTATCTGGGAAGCAAGTCTGGTTACCAGTAAAGGCACTGCAAGTTGTGTGCCAGTAAATGCAGGCGATGTAAAACTCAGTGGCTGCTCTGCTTGGTTGTCCAGATTGGTCTAAACAATGCTATTGCCAACCCTGTGCCATTTTTCTGTTACAGTACTTCAAAATGGTGCACTCCTGTTGTCAATACTCAAGCACTGAAAACCAGAGACGTTTGTAGTACCTGCGGGACATGAACCTGCCTGTGCCCTATCCACAAGTCTGCTATGCATGCACACATCTTAGTTACACAGTTTGTGCCCCACGCTTTCTCTTCTTATGGTGCCCCAAACACTGGAAGTCCTTTAGAGACCCTGAAGAAGGGTTGCCAACATGCATAATACTGTACATTCTGAACAGCCAGTGGAAAGTAACTTTTGTTTCTTCTTTTGAGTTTTTATCAATGCATGCGGTAACACGGTCAGTGACTGTAATATTCCACGTGAAATACTAGCTACCTACAGGATAGTTGTAGCCTCCCCCATCACTATTTGAGCTAAGTGTGAAGCAACACAGTTAGAAAGTTGGCTGGGCTGTTTCGTAGTAGCATGACGTTTAGTGTGAGTGGAGGAAAAAAGAAGTGTGCAACTCAGCGGACTGGAGCGATGAAACATCTCACAGGTTGTCCAGCAATAGTGACTGGACTCTGGTGATTGTTTGGAACATAAGTTCCACATGAGCAATTTCATAAGAGACTGATGAGGGCCTGTTTCACTGAAGAGGTGATGCCTGAGATCTTTCATGTACACATGGAAAAAGAAAAAAATAAATTCTAAGGCTCTTCTGCTGCTAGAGCAAAAAGATACTGTGTGCTAAAAGCTGAGAACTTGGTCAGCCTCAGCACTGAGTGTCTTCAATTTTAGGAAAAAAAACAGAAAATCAGTATGCTGTACGAAATGAAACTTGCAGACAAGCCTAGGATGAAATTTAAGGGGGTGAATCAAGTATGTCCTTACCTGAAGTAATCTCTTAATCAAGACCTTTGGCAAACTAGCACAGGTGAGGTGAAAAGATGATGAGTTACCCTCTTTCTGTTCTAGGCAGACTTCCTTTTTTTGGTGGTATTCAGGCAGGAATCAGGTGAGGGCCAGAGACGTACTTGAGCATTCCTGGCTTAGGAGAGAATTTGAAGACCTTTCCCAGGACAAAGGCCTTAAACTTTGTGGTTTTGTTGGTATGTGATTCAGAGTGGGTCCAGATGAGCTATTTGGGTGGGATACTCTCTTCCTTGAGGTAACATAAACTGTAGACCTGCTTCCAGATTTAGGAGAAATTGGCCAGAAGGTAAGGGTAGCTGCTGAAGCCTAGTGAAGAAGAGGATAGCAGTGGGCTGAAAGCAACAGCTACAACAGCAGGGAAGTCTCTTGGTCAATTCAGTAGATAATCAGAAGGAGAATCACAGATCGCCATTTGTTGGCAGAGAATTACTTGATCATGGCTGATAATTCGAGAAGAACTGAAGGTACAAAATTCGCAGTCACATGGGGGTGCATACTTAAATGCTTGTCCTCTGGCTACTGTAAAGGCAGAAATGACTCCAGTCTTAATTACTACACTGTGAGTGGTCATATAGACCTCAAATAAAAAAACCCCATTATTTCCTTCACCAGTTAAATCTAGCACCCTGATACCTTCTCAGCCGAGTACATTTCCAACTGTAAATTCACGTGTGCCAGTGAAAGTGATAGTAACAGTATTTTATTAACTTAAATATTTAGATATCTTATTTGTTCCATTTAATAAGGTAAATAAGGGTTGTATAAGGTACTCCGGCACTGCAAAAGATCCTGCTAAATTCGGTGTGGAGATTCAAGTGTATTTGCTAAGGAGAACATGCTGCTAATGCCAGAGCATGAACTGGATTCATTTTACACCTGTACAATTTCTGTCCACAAGAGAGCTGCTTTCCAGTAACTGTAGCCACTAGGTTTGACTCTTACCCAGATCCAAATACAAGCTTATTAATTTTAAAAAATCTAACTGGAATCTTCAAGCCCATTTTCAAGCAGCGCAGGGCACGGGAGCCGATCTGTTACATGCTCATTGTATTGCATTGTGCACCACTTCTGCAGTGATTTGGCCACTCTTTGGATTTGCTGCTGTCTGTAGATCATGGCTTATGTTCTGCTGTACCTGTGTGGTTGAAGTATTTAGGAGTTAAGCTAGTTACAGTAATAGAATGTGTCAGAAAGGTCAAACAAAGGTCTGAAATCCAAAGCTTCATGCTACCGGACTAAGTATGCTATATTTTTGCAAGAATGTACTCATAAAGCAATAAACCTTTGAGTGGACTCTTGACAGTTTAGTGATAGAGCTATAATATGCTGGCCATTGCCAAAAATAATCCAACAACTTTTCCGACTGTTCTGCCACCCTTAGAAAACACTGCTTCAGTTCCAACTGGCTGGTTTTTAACCACAAATGAGTTTATTTTCAGCAGGGCTTTTTTTTAAGTTCTTCCCGGATTCCCAGTTCTGGCGGAATCCAGTAAATGATGCAGTGTTATTCAAATGATGTGGAAGACAGCATCTGTATACTATTCCTCTCTACCTACCATTCCCAGGGATTAATAACGTATCCTGTTGAAGCATTTCTTTGGAATTTACATGCAGTCAGGATTACAGACCTGTGGGATAAAAACCCCCACTTCATTCCTATTTCTTAGTCTCACTGCATGTAGTGGGAGTAGTCGCACATTATAAATATAGAAAATGCTATTTGCACATGAATGCTTCATAAGGGTTTGCAGTAAAACAAATACAGTATTTACCAACTGATCTAAGGGCTGTCTGAAAAAGGTAATAATTGAAATATGGATGATCAGTCTCCCTATTTCTTTGCTTATTTTGCAATCACGTGATAAAGACGCCGCTAGTAAAAGCTGACCAGTCTAAAAACAGTGTTACGAGGGGCTTAAGGTAAGAGTGGAGAAATGGATTGCATCAAAAAGCAAGTGGTTCTGTGTCTTGAAAACCTCTTTGCTTACAGGCATCTGTAAGCAACACAAGTGCCAAACAAAACAAGTATATGTAGGGAATTCCTATTTTTTTTAAACAGTTATCCCATAGAACCTGAGGTAGAATGGATGAAAAGGGTGCATTGCCTGGAAACTTATTTATAACTGAAAATGTAATAAATGTAGTAAATTAATTGCTTCCAATAAGAATAGCAGTGCTTTAAATTTTTGCCATACCTCTGTATAGATCTGTTCCATGTAAAACCCCAAAACCTATAACTCTTGATTTCAGTGCAGATCAACTTCAGACTGCAGTACGCAGACAGTTAGCAACTGGGTTATAAACCAGGTAAAGATATGTGTGAGAGTTTTTGAATTCCGAGAGCAATTTATAGTTTTGACGCTTCTCTGCTGTGGAATTGTGGCACCTTTCTTTTTGCTAGAATACAGAAACATAGCTCCTTTAAACCTGGAAGCATTGATAAAGTGTCATTACAGTGGGGAGAAAAAATGGTGTACTACATTGAAGTAGTTCCATTTCATGACTACTACTGGTATAACTGCGAATACAACATGGAAGATTGGGTTCCAGGACATCACCCCCTCTTTCTCGCTAGGACGCTGAACAATGCAGCTTCTCACTTCAAGAATGTTAAAGTTTTGTTTTAAACTTTCTGAAGGGGAAAAAATGGAAGCTTGATTTAGCCCAACTCCAGCAAACCCGTAGTGCTGACGTTTAACTAACATAAACTCCTCCCTTAGGTATTCAGCTCTGTCAGAGCAAATCAGAAGTACTTGTTCTGCACATCTGTCACAATCCTAATGCTTTAAATAGCTTTTCTGGTGGGTATATTTTAAACAGAAGTGACTGCACGTAACCAACCCAGGGTGTCCCTTCCAGCTATGTGTTCTAAAATCGGCTGTTTTCACAGAATAATATTGTGTATACTTAATGGTCACTGGCAAAACATCAACACCATGTTCTGCTACATTTCAGGGGTATTTTTACATTTGTGTTTCAAGTGGATTGATTTTGGTCTTTCATTGACTCAGTAGGAAAGGCTAGGGGAGACAAATGAAAACCTGCTACTTGAAATTTACTTGAAAAACATATAATTACATTTCAGAAAGTTCATGGTCTTCTAATGTTTCCTATTTCTGGTTACATTTGACCATCGTATCATGAACAACAGACTGCTTTCCAATAGGGAAGTTTTGCTCTGGGCTTGTAAGAACTTCCCAGAATCCATCAGTCCGAGGGCACTCAGATCACTCTGAGAAGAATCATCCTTGAGATTAAGAACAGTTTTCTGTTTTCTCATACCTATAGAACAAAGAGAAACAGTTGCTTTCTTCTTTACTGCCAATGTAGCACAGTTAAGATATATTTAAGTATTAAAGGAACATGAATTCTAGTAATTTTCCAGCAGAAATTGTAGTCTCACTGTACTGCCTTGTTTCAGCTAGAAACAGTACTCAAATTCCAACAATAATGCTGTTCTTTTATACAGCATGGTGCCTTTAGAACAGTCATTGTGAGGTGAAGCAAAATGTTTTTGTCATGACGAAAAACAATGGAAGTTTTAGCCACAAGTGTATATAAAGCTTCCCTGCTAGGCCAGCTGACAGTCAGACA